CAGCAAACCTAGGTACTCGTTAAACCTAATGTTATTAAAATATATTTAACAGAAAATCAATTCAGACAAATGGAAATTCGCTTAGTCGGCAGGTTTGCTGCGGCGGGGGTATTTTTACATTAGCTCGTAAACTATATGAGGGCACCCACTGCACTTGCTCAATATCCACTACTAGTACTTTTTTAGTAAAAGCTCTGGAAATGTTTACTCTCAGGTAGATGAACTTGCTACTTGGATTTTGAGTGAACCAAATTATTAAAATATCCAAGAGTATAATTTTGATTCAATCTTTATTTCCAGATGCCTGGCAACTGAAGGTGGAGAGTTATCGAGAATGGTTTTTGAACGACATGAAACGGAAAGTCGACGAGAGCTTAAGGCCAGAAAAAAGTAAATACAAGCCCAAAGAGCAAATGTTCGGCGTAGAGGGATCCTTCAAGACTCTAACGATAGACTAACACAAGTTAGCTGTAAGGAGAGTTGTACTCAACCAAAGTTGAAATACATTTGACAATTGTACAGTCTTTTGTTGCATTTTTGTTATTAAATAGGTTTTACATAAACCGTTTTGTGCTTTTATCCACTGGCATTGACTATTGTATACTGGAGTAGACATGGAAATCTATTTGATACACTAACCAACACATCTCATTGTAAATTTGGAAGCTCATTTTTCATGTCTGACACATTGTTCATGTTGGTGATATTGATCGCTAGTGTCATCCAAATTTTATTTCTATTATTTTCAGGTTAACTTCATGGTTTGTGCTTTACTGTTTGGTTATATAATTAGGGGACGAGTTGTTGTTTATGATTATATCGATTTAACGAGATTTTTAATTTTTGAAATAACCAGAAACAAACAGTAAACAAAACACGACCAGTACTACGCACAATTTTTATTTCAGCTGCAGTTTTTTTAATACGCTCAAAATGAGAGCATTCTATTGGCTGAGGGAACACCATTACCGCAACGATACAGGTTGAAGTCATCGGCCTCGGTGGTCTAATGGATAACGTGCTGGGCATAGAAGCTGAAAGAACCAGGTTCGAATCCTATCGGTGGCACTAACTTTTTGTCTAAGATTTTTGCATTATCAGCAAGTTTGGTTAGTTTGGTTAGGTTATGACAGTTTTATTTTATAATTAAAAAATTGAATTTGAGGCATTTATAATTTTATTTTATGAACAGAACTATGGTTTCGATTAGTAAACCTTCATTCAATTTTTTCATTATCAGCAAGTTTGGTTAGTTAGGTTAGGTTATGACAGTTAAATTTTATAATTAAAAAATAACTTTATATTTTTTTAGTTTTATAATTATTTTTTTTTTATTTCTTTTTTTTTACTCTCATTTTGTCCGTATTAAAAAAACTGCAGCTGAAATAAAAATTGTGCCACCACTACAGTGCACTGGACAGAACTAACAATAAAATTGTCTTCCGCTGATCCATAAGAATGGGAAATCTACTAAGGGAGTATGTTTTATCAATGTCTATATAGACCAACTGTCGCCAACTGAAAAAAAAGGACAAAGTTGTCTGCGGCAGTCACAGAATGCGCTAATTTCTAAAATTGTATTTTCTACCTTATTTTAGGTTGCTGACTGTTTATTGGTAATTACAGTTGCTGTAGCTCACAATAAGTGTGTTTCAATTGACGAGTTAAGAAAAGTTGTTACATCTCTCAGTAACACTAAGTCCTCAGGTTGGGATGAAATTCCTCTTTTTGTCATTAAAAGAGTTTTTAAATTTATAGAACATCCATTATGCCAAATAGTGAATCAGTCCCTTGAGGGGGGGGGGGTTTTCCTGATAAGCTAAAGTTGGCTGAGATTAAACCTCTGTTCAAAGAGGGCGATGTCAACGATCCCTCTAACTACCGCCCCATCGCCCTTCTGCCTTGTTTTTCAAAGATTTTTGAAAAAATTGTAAAGATTCAACTAACAGAATATTTAGAAAGCAATAATTTAATAAATCCTTCACAGTTTGGTTTCCGCCCAGAACTCGGTACTGAAAAATCCATAACAAAAATGATTAACTACATTGCGGAAGCCTTGGATGGATCGCAGAAGACTGTGGGTGTGCTATGTGACCTATCCAAGGCTTTTGACTGTGTGAATCATGAGATACTCATAGAAAAGTTAAGTATGCATGGAATAAAAAATACTGAATTAAAATGGTTCATATCATATTTAAAGACCCGAAAACAAAGACTTATTTTACAAAAAATGCAGAGAAATTATAAATCAGAGTGGAACATTAACCCCAATGGAGTTCCTCAGGGCTCCATTCTCGGCCCTTGTTTATTTATTATTTATGTTAATGATCTATGCAATGCTACTAAGATGTCCACCTTTCAATACGCAGATGATACCGCTTTAATATGCACAGGACAAAACAATGAGTTCATTCAAGCCTCAATAACTAAGGAATTTCAACTCCTTGGGGATTGGTTTGCAGTAAATGGCCTGTCCATGAATGTGGCAAAAACTCAACTAATTCAGTTTTCTGCATCCAATATTAACCAAGAAATAATTGTAAATACAAACTTAACTACAATTCATTCACAACAGTCAATAAATTATTTGGGAATAGAAATCGATTCACAACTAAATTGGCAAAAACACATTAAAAACCTATCAAAAAGACTACGCTCAGCAACATTTGTTCTCACAATAATTCGGGATACTACTAATCTAGAAACACAAATAGTAGTATATCACGCATATTTTTCATCGATTATGAATTATGGAATTACTGTATGGGGCTCATCAAGCCAGGCCAAAAAAATATTTATTCTCCAAAAAAGAGCTGTAAGATTAATGGCCAGAGTCTCCCGTAGAACACATTGTAAAGATTTATTATTAATTTTAAAATTTTAACTTTTTTTAGCTCTTATATTTACAAATTGGCATTAACGGTTAAAAGTGATTTCGACACATTCATGGACTGTCAACAATCTCATCCAAATAACACAAGATTCAAAAATATTATAAAACCAGTTCAACATAGGCTTAAAATCTTTCATTTATCTCCTCAGTATATGGGACCAAAAATTTACAATAAATTACCCGCTGGGATTAAAAACATTGCCTCATTCTCTAAATTTAAACTATCTTTAAAAAATTTCCTTTTGGAGAGGGCATTTTACTCGTTAGAGGAATATCTGGAAAATGAGTATATTTGAAAGATATTGCTTCTCCCATAGGTTTGTAGCTTATTATATGCTTTATTTCTTTTGTAAGCTATTTTATTTTAAAATGTAGTATAGTATTAGTATTAGACTTTGTGACAAATCACCTGTCAAGAGAATTGATGTAATGTGATGATGTTTAATAAATAAATAAATAAATAAGTCATTCCATCAGTTTGGCTTGGTAAAGCCGGGTTTTCCTAGGCGCGGAGTCGGCCAGCGGAGAGAGGAACGCGGAGAGCGGACTCAGCTTGTCTTAGGTAATTTAATGTTACTGTTTTCCTAGCAGCGGAGCGGAATGCCATGTTAATTTCAATTCCGCTCTCCGCGTTCCTCTCTCCGCTGGCCGACTCCGCGTCTAGGAAAACCCAGCTTAAAAGAAGTCCTTTTTCATTTAGAGGACCCCAAGAGGCCAAAAACACCGTCCGTTCCAATTCATATATTTATATGTGTGTCCATTAGTACTATAACTCGAGTAAAAATGATCCAATTTTGATTAAATACGGTTAAAAAGTGTAAACCTATGTTTATCCGAAAGAGTTCATGAACTAGCATGATCAGACTATATGGAATCTATTTTAATTTATTGACTTGTTAAACTTGATTGAAAACTGATAAAGGGTTATTTCTGTCAAGGTTTGTATGAACTTATAGGCCATAAATTTTGTTGTTGTCATTCCATTTCATTAAAAACTCTCTACATCTTCCAAAACAATTACCTATTCCTATAAAAAAAAAACTGACTTTTCAAGCTTATAAGCACTTTCCTTATTAGTTACTGGACTGATTTGGTATATGTGACCATTATCTACCACAAGACTGATAGATGACTGATTCATCAGACATTTGCAATCCACACTGGTAAGATTAGATAAAACTACTCAAGCTGTTGAGATTTATTTGCAAAGTAAGTTTAAACTCACAGTGGAATTGTTTGTATATGAAGTCACAGATTAAATCAAGACTGTAATCTCTTTAATCTGTGTTTAAGTGTAAGCGATGTCTCAATCAAACGAACCTTATCAGTTGTGTAGTTGAGAGATATTCTCTTCGACTTTTGTTCAGGCGACACAGGTTCAATTCCAGTGGAACTAAATAATTTCTGCGGTTTCAGCTATTTGATTGACAATTTTCACAAATTGATTTTACTTGACAAAGAATAGATTGAAATGCTAAAAAAATTAATACCATTTTTCTTAGAGTTGAAAGGACCATTACATAGTAAATTGTAATAAAAATCGTTCGTGATCGAAATGGTGAATACTTAAAACCTAACACGTGAGAAATAACACGTTAAAGAAAAGCAAACAGAAAATTAATTTCAGATAAAATAGCGTTTTCCAAACAATTAAGTAAGGTTTCCATAGCCCGGGTAAAATGTAAGGCATCCAACTATTAAATTTGGTATTGTAAACAAACTTTATTTAAATCAAATCCAAAATTTGACCAAGACATTCAAGGATGTTATGAGGAAAAACACAACAAAAATAAGGAAACTTAGTAAAATACCAAATTTGACTTTGCATTAATACTTGTTTAAGCAATAAAATCCATGTCAGAATATCTAGACACCATTTGTCCATTGACTATGCTAAAAAAGTTTAGTATCTTAAATGATCTGCCCAAGCAAAAAATATGTTAATAATATAAATATGGGTCAAGAGAGACTAGTGAGATTGTGGGGGGGGGGGGGGGCGAGGGGGGGCAATAACTGGATTGGGCTGTAATCAGCAAGGCTTAACAGCAATGACCTTGACAATATTTGAGAGCTCTTCAATCTGCATGCACTCCACAACACAACATAACCTAACTTGTTCCATACTGTCACTGTGCTTATACTAGTTATACTGTCAATGATAATTAACAGTTTAATATTTCAGCTTACACCAGTAAAGTGTGAAATCATTGTGTGGAATAACCATGTCTCTCAAGTAAGTACATTCAAGCAACTAGAATGAAATAACCTAAATCTAAAGCTAAAAGTAACATCTACAGTACTTCTAGTACTGTATCTTTGATACTACATCTAATGTTATAGCTTTTGCAGTCATTCTAGTGTGGACTCATTATGTCTCTGAAGTTAGTAAATCTAATTTGAACTCTTTTAATATTCAAAACCAAAAATAAGTTTAGTTTGTACTTAGGTAGATGGTTGAATGTGTAAGTAGTGTGTTTGTTTAAGTTATATTGACATTCATTTTTGGGCGCTTCAAAGATTGACGATAAACAATTACAACAAGCATCAATGAGTAATAATGGACAATAAATTCTCAAAAATAATCTTAGCTTTTCAAAATTTTGTCAGGCTTATTTATTTACTTGGTATTATTTGTACGGTATTTTTTTAGTTAAAGGAGAATTTCTTGCTATTCTTCATGTCACTATCACAATGTTTTATTTACAAATAATGTCAGTTAATCTAATTGTAGACCAAAAATAAAAATTTCATTTGGCATTTTTGTAAAAAAAAATATATTTTTCCAGTCAGCCACATAAACCTTAAACTAGTACACTGGACTTGTTCTTTTTCCCCTTGTATCCATAATAAAGATAGGCCTAACAAAAATATTAGAATTGAACAGCTGGCCTCTCTATTTCAAGTTATCTGAGGCAGGTAACCTACCCGTCGACTAGCTTCGGGTAAACGCGGGAATAATTTAGTGTATCTGCAAAACAATAGTACAACACACAATACACTGATTAAAGAATAGGGGAAAATATTAAAGTTAATTATAATGATAATAATATGTCAAATTTACCGAAATAACTATGGTTCTTACTAGGGCTCAATTTGTAAAATTTTATCTTTCCGAAAAAGAGGTACCAGAACGCCGTTCCACCGTAAATCGAGCACTGGTTCTTACAAAGTATGATAAACAATGAGCAAAGGACTGCCATTAAATGGAAAAATCGTCAGAAACGAAGTCTAATGTGTTAAGTCAATTAACGTTCACAGTAATTATACTTAAAAGGGTAACTATTTCTCCCGTAAAGGGAATTTGATTCATTAATGAGACTTTGCCAAAAATAAGCGTTATCCTTGGCCCTATACATTCAGATACAACACTTATTTTGCTTAAATGTTCTTAACATTTATTTTATTGAGAATGCTTTTTGTAAAACATTTTTGGACCAAATAATTTCAGTAGATAAAAAACATTTATATACATCTCATTTATGGACGCAAGGTAAATTCTGTGCTTTTAGTTTCCAGAGTATAAACCTGTCCGAGCCTACAGAAGAGTTTAAGCAGTCTGTGTGTAAGAACTTCAACACAAGTCTTGAACAGCTGGAGAAAGACGTTCTTTCACTCAGAGAATGGCTGAAGTCTCAGACACATCTACCTCAGTGCGCCAGTGAGTGTTAGCTTTGACCATAAGACAAATGGAATAATGACTGTCAAAGGAAGGTTGCACGATGGGCCGCTAGATGTTCGATTCGCTGCCGTCATCGGCTCCTCGTCGTATGCTACCAGCAGACGCTGCAGCGGTGCGCGCTGTAACTACACAGCACTTTGGACGCAAGAACATATGCTAAACGCAGCATTGCTGTTGTATATTTAATTCTTTTTTGTCTATGCTTTGACTATTGATACAACTAGACATTCCATCCCCAAGTTAAAGTTGTTGCCGGTTTTAGAATCAAAATGGTCATGGTTGAATTGAACCCCTGTCTGGCTAATGTAAATTACTGATTTATGTCAACACATTTTTTCACCTGGTCAAACTGATACAACAACTTATCATGAGCACTACAGCTGCTATAGTATTTTGTATGTCAAAACTTTTTCAGTACGGTAACTATGTACAGAGCTAGAAGCCACATCTGTGGTCTGAAAATGAAATTTTGTATGTGAGAACCAACCCATGGTAATTCTAGGCTTTTTTCATATTGTAAAAATTTAGAATTTTAATGGTTGCCGTATTTTCTGATAAAGGTATAAAATATTTAAAAATTAGATTTTCACAAAAACAGCTAAAACAGTTTAAATGAAAATTGGTACGTTAGGGTTCTTTTAGCTCCATACAAAATTATACAATCCTCAACGCTGTAAAAATTATGGTTCAAAAGTTATGGCAACTTCTGTGATTTTACCCATAAAATATCATAGTTTCTTCCATTTACAGGTTATAAGGGTTGTTGACAAGCTAATAGGAGAAAGTATGTGTAGATTGCTGATACTATTTATTAAAAAAAAAAAAAAAATTTATGTTGGCAAGAGAACACAAAAACATCATTCAACAATTCATTGTCAAATTATTTTTCAGTTAAGAAACAAAAGTATGTTGTAGATTTGTTAGACGACTGTACAGTAGAGTCCCGCGAACTCGGCGAACTCGGCGTAATGTGGATTGGAAGGGTGCCGAATTTGTGAAATGCTGGGTTTTCGGGAACTAGGGTTAAAAATAAGAACAATACAATTTTTAAGCTTTTTTAACTGCCTTTTTTATTAATATTTATATTACAAGCCAGTATTAAGTCATCAGATATAGTACGAAAAATCCTTGGTATGAGTTGTGAATGATTTGACTTGAGCTGGCTTGAGTCCATGTTTAACTCGGACTAAAAATATCACTAATTTTCTGAGCTAGTTGATGGCCGAGTTATCCAGACTGTCGGGTTATGGAGTGCCGAGTTTGCGGGACTCTACTGTATCAAAATTGATGAACACCATTCACCAACAATTTGGCCTCGATTTAAAGTACCATCATCAGGATGATTTGACTACCGCACAGTTGTAAATGTATCTAGACTTATAAAATCAACTGTGCGGAAGTCAAGTCGCTTTATGACACTCTATCGAGGCCCAAACAATGAAGAGTGTTTTGTCGATTTTGCCACGCTCCCCAAAAGACCATGACATGTGACCATGGATAAAATTCAATAAGAAAAAAAAACTAGTATTCAAACGGAAACCAATTAAACATTAATTTTACAATAATCAATTTGCTGTTAACACAATTAAGTCTTCCCTTGTGTGGAGATTAAATCTAATGAATCTGAGATGATCTCGAGGTATAATGACGTGAGATTGCAAAAATTAATTCGCCCGCAGTCACGGCAAAGCTGCTAACAACTGGTTAATGAAACGTTGAGTGATGAGTGTAAACAGGAAATAGAACAGGAAGATGGTGCTATTAGATACGTCCTGAAGCAGTGTTAGATCAACACCGAAGCTGGTATCAATCACAACAACACACAAACACTGACTGGCTAAAGTCACAGAGGAGGAGAGTATCAGAGAAATGAAAGGGAAAAAAATTGAATTTAAAAATTTCATCTAAACTGGTTTTTTAACTTTGGTCTTCTGAAAGTTGGAAAAATTCTCTTTATCAGCAAGTTTGGGCTAGATCACGAATTTATGTAATAACTTATGTCAAAACAGGTATGGGTTTACTTGTTAAGTTCAAATAGAGAGGTTTTATAAGAGCTATTAACACACAGAAAAATGATTTCAATGAATAGTGTTTTTGGTTTCTGGGGCCATTGAAACCTAAAAGTACATTGGTACCAAACATGTCAACTTAGCAGCTAAATTTTCTTTTAGGGAAATTAGCTCAAATATATTTCTTAATGAAACCGAACACTTTATATGAAATGAAAGATAAAACACTCAAATATTTGTACTAAACCTCAATACAGAATGAAAACTGAAAACAGCACAAAAGTAAAATTATTTTATGTGATTTTTAAGTACAGTACTCTATTAACAACAGCATTGTCTCTTTTTCAATATTTTTGGTTGGTGTTTTCTTTTGGTAAACTGTTTGTAAATTTTTTTCAAGTTGGCCCTAAAAAAATTATATCAATATTTTAAGCTGTATGTCAGTATTTGACTTTTACCCAACAACTGCTCAAATGTCTAACCTACTATAATATGGTCTTCACTATCATAGATATTTCCACTTTAAAAGTTGCTTTTGTTACAATGGGTTTAAATTTTTCTGGTTTTTGGGTACGTGGTATGTTATAACCCATAAATCAACCGAGGGGTTAATAATATTACAACTTAAGGTGATTCCTAATAATTTAAAAAGCGTAATTTGGCTTATTTTCTGTTTCCAGGCGACACAATGTTAAAAGCGTACTTGATAGCCTGCAAGAATAAAATGGATAGAGCCAAAACCAAAATAGAGAACTACTACGTCGCAAGAGCTGAGCTTCCTGAGATATTCTCTGATAGAGATCCGGCCAGTCAGAAAATTACAATTGACGGAGAAATCATGTAGGTGATCATAGGTAATCACGAGGCAATCATATGTAGACATGTAGGCAAATAATATGGGTCGATCATAGGTAATCACGAGGCAATCATATGTAGACATGTAGGCAAATAATATGGGTCAAGTTAGGTTGTACACAAACAATTAAAAATGTATTTTGGCCTTAGTCACTAACAAGACTACAAGATCGCACCACTCATCCTTCACTGATATTTGGATTAAAATACGCACCTAGTGGTGTCCCCATCTTAAATAATTGATTGGTTGATTCACATCTTAGGATGCTTGTTTCTAGTTCGGAACTGTTTACACATTACTTCAGGCTAGTTCTAGAGGGGGTCTCGTCATTATCGGTGATTGGCAAGATTTGAACCTAGAACCTTCGGATTTAAAGGGTCACACTCTACCTCTTGACCAACTCGCTCCCCACTGGTTTTACTTTAGACTCCCCAATGTTTTAGTATTCATATTTCCGACTCACTTATACTTATATAATTCCAGACACATATACACACTGCCCAAACTGACTCCGGACGGCTGTAGAGTGAACATGGTTGGCTTCCGAACCACAGAGGCAAAGAGGTTTGACACAAACGCTTATTCCAAGAGAACACTGATGGCCGAAGACATTAAGATCAACAAGGAAGCGTTTGTGAACGGAGCTTATTTTGTGTTTGACGGAAGATTCATGTCGATGAGCCATGTGATGAAGGTGACTCCCCGTATGTGTTACAATTTGGTACACTGTGCTCAGGTATGTATCGCCAAAAACACACTTTGAACTTCTGAAAATAATAAATGGTATTAGCAAATAAATGGTATCAGTAACCTGACACATACTTTCTTATTAGCTTGTCAACAACTATTACCGGCAGTGGGAGTAACTATGATATTTTATGGGGAAAATCACAAAGGTTTCAATAGCTTTTGAACCGTAATATTTACGGCATTAGGGGTTGTATAATTTTGCTAAAAAGTAAAAGGACTATAACATACTAAATTTACTAAAATTTTTACTATTCAGTAACCACATAGCAAATTGCAACAAAATCACACGACAGGTCTATATAGCTCTGTACTCATCCACACACACAAAGATTACTTCAAAATAAGACTTTTTTGGTTCAGGCCAAGGGGAACCCAAACCGAACATACCCACCTAAAACTCAAACTTAATAATTTTGACTAAAACAATACTTTCTCCATATGGGGAGAAAGTAAAAAGGAGCCTAAAAACTTAAACAGACCTTAGATTTTACCCCATACCTACTGCAATTGGGAAACATACTGCAATTCAGAATTACAAACATTTCAACCCAAAAATATCTTGAGGATACAAGCAAATATTTTTTGTTCAGATGTTTCCTTTGCTTACATTTAATTTTGAATAATATTTTTGTTCTGTATTAAAGCCCATTTTTCCCCTTTTATGTCCCACCTTCAGATACTAGGACGCTAGTTCTAGCCCGGAACAGTTTTACACATTTCTTCAGGCTAGTCCTAGAAGGTCGCGGCATCACAACATAGGGATCCACTGGTGATTGGTAGGATTTGAACACGTAACCTCGGGCTCCAAAGCCCTGCGCTCTACCACTAGACCAGCTGGCTCCCTTAAAAGCTTAATTTAGTGCCCATTAGACTGTTTTCTTTCACTGCCCGAAATATTGTGTCATGTAATTTTCCCGAGTGGAAGTCAAGGTCTGTAACCAACTCATCCTCACACAAAGCAAAGTCAAGGTTAAAGAAATCCATCTTAAAAATAAATATAGGGGAAAAAACGGTGGTTTTACTGCTAAAAACTACACATATTTATTGGAAATTTGGTTCTTTCTATTCTAATTGAATACATCCCAAAATGTTTATTTTAGAAACAAATCTGAAATCAAATTCTCCTCACATTTTAAACGCAGAGTTTCCTGCTGTCAAGGCCTTACATCTCACATAGTCATTCAACTATTCAAGGTGGTAGAGTCTGTCTTAAACAAACTAGACATGTAAAACCCTAAACTAGGATGTTACTGATAAAAATTTACAGTTTAAAACTTATATTGCAGAATGTCCTGCCAGTCATCATCAGGGGAATTATATTTATAAACGCTCCTTCATACCTAGAGATAATTCTGAGCTTCCTGAGACCATTCATGAAGAGCAAGTTGTTCCAGAGGGTAAGATATTTGTTTCACACTATATTAAGTTGACTCTAGACAATTATTGTTATCAGATGTGTTTCCCTTTTTACTTTATTATGTTATTTACTGATTAGGTGTAAAATGAAAATACACTCCCATGCTGGTTCCCGAAATCGTTGGAATAAACATAGTTTACATGTTTGTACCTAATTTCATGAAAATTGCATAATATTTTGCTTGAGTTATTCAAATAACAGAAAAAATATAAATGAATTTGAAAGGATGGTGTTTTCAGCCTTTGGGTATATCAAAGCGAAAAAGAAAAGCGATACAGGGTCTAGGTCCTACCATGAGACCTATGTTAATTCAGTAGACTCTTGAAAATTCGAAATTGGCGGGCCAAGCAAATAAAATTGAATCATCAAGAGGTTTCGATTTATTCAGAGGAAAATAAACTATTCGAATTACAAAAATTTAATATTTAATAGTCTGTGTTGTGGAGGGTACAGAACCTTACAATTACAGCTTACTTTAGATACTTTACAACAAGCAACAGCTTATTTTTTGTTACTTTTTTTTAATTTTGTTAGCATTTTACTATATATTCTTGCGTCATCAATGACATTGACAAACTACTGAGCTAACAAAACAGGATGTATAGTTTTCTGTTATGACAGGAAGGAATCCCTCTCTTCCAATTATAGAGTGTTTTCCCGAGAAACTTTGAATCACTGCGTGTTCCAGATCGGACTGACCTCTGCTTCGACTTAAAAATACAGAGTGTATCAAAATGAATAGTAAAACTTCAAAATATTAAGAGATTCTCTACAGACTGAGCTTTTATTTTGAACTATCGAATGTTTAAATAACCAAAAGTTGACTGCTTACTCTAAACTAATTGGTGATTGGATTAAATTAGTTGGTGTGTAATTGAGTTGACGGAGAATGTTATGCCCTATAAGAAAAATTCACTAAAAAGGGTGACAAGATAAATTGTGTTCTAGATTCATGTACACACTAAGGGACCAGAAGTGCTGGAGAAGTATTTCCCGATAGCTCTCTTGCCCAAAGACTACGGAGGAGAAGAGGACAACAGTGACCTACTGAATGGTGTGTGGCACAAGTTAATTCTAAACTAAAGTCTTTAACAAACTCTCGTTATGTCAGATATAGTTAATAATAAGCAAGATAGTTCAGATATAGTCTTGCTGTAGCCTTAAATAGTGAAAGGTAAAATGTCATGAACTATGAATTGAGCTCTGTGGTTAGATTTATGTAGTTTAAGACCTGTGTTCCTGTGTTGTTAAAAATACCTTTGCCGCAGAAAACCTACAGACTAAGTGAGCTTCCATTTATCTGATTGGAATTTTACTCTAGAATTTTCTCCATGAAGATTTGACCTGTACAAAACACTACAAAAAACAAAATAATTTTATTTTAAGCTCAACAAAATGGCTTTAATGAAAATTGGGAATTTTTATGTTTAAGGGGTTGAAAAGTTAGAAAAAAAACATTTGTTGAAAGATATTAAAACCCCATAACATTGTGTTCCTATGACCCGATCTTGACGGTTCGTAACTTCATTCAAGTGTATTTAGCCCTACTTGTTCAGGCCAAGATAATTGATTAAATTATTTAATCAAAATCGGACCAAAACTACTCAAGTTATTGTGTTATTGGACACACGTGTATACTCAAATAAAAATTTAAAAGAATATTATTTTTGACCTCTTGGGCATCAAAATGAAAATAAAATTGGTACCGTGCCACCTACTTAGCTACTTCCGTAGCTATAGCTACTTCCCCATAGGGAAATTCGCTAAATCAAGCTATATACCAGTGGACACTTAAAGATAAGTAAGATGTATAAGAGTTGTAACTCAGAACCCTTACATTCTGATAACTTTCAACCTTTTCAACCGAGCTCTTAACGATATATTTTACGCAAGCCTCTCCCACGTAGCTCAACCACAACCATGATGTATAGTTACACATCGTTGACGAAGTGTATCTGATATGATTGTCACACTACAAAACATTACCGATTATTTAAAAAATTATAATTTTTGAACCGGTGTTGGTAAGGATTGGCTCTAAGATTGGGTTCTGGTTGGGTTCAATAAAGAAAAATCACATTTCATTAAACACTCCTGGGTATGTTTTTGGAATGAGAATATGTTATTTGTCAATATATATTTCAAAAATGCATAACCAAAAGTGTTTCCAAAATTTTTAACAATATTAAGCTATCTAACGGGATGGTGCCCAATGTTGATAGTGAATGTTGCAATGACACCACACTGTCTGGGCTGTGTAAACAAAGGTACTACCCGCTAGCGTTGCGTGTAGCCTGCTGCCTTCGTAGCGTCCTGTAAATTTAGCACCCTGAATCCCGTGACATCTGCGCTACAACATTGTTGCTTAACTAACACAGCCCTTACAGCTTCAAAATTTCATCAGAAACTTAGTCACATTTCTAATTTCTACTAATTACTTTTCTTTACAGAGTCCTGGATGAAGTGTTTGAGAGATAATAAAGACTGGTTTTTGAAAGAAGGACAGCTAAAAGCAGACATAAAAGTTGCTCCAACCGAGAAAAAGAAGGAGTTTGAAGAGATGCAGGGATCTTTCAAAGCTCTTGCTATTGACTGAAGAAATCCAGGTGATTGTCTGTGATAGAGCAAGGGTTCAACTGTTTTGAAAAGAAATAATGAAGAACAGTACAAAGAAGAAATGTAATTTACATTAACTATATTTAAGAGACCTTCATTTTTTGTATAAAATTTGTTAAAATATTTATAAAATTTATTATAAATGAAAATTCTTGTAAAACATAGTTTCATGACTTATTCCCTAACCTTAAAAATCCAACATGTATTATATTATCGTTTATAGTCAGTCAATGATATTAATTAAACTAAAAGTAAGAATAGGACTTTTATGATGAGTATTCCACAAACATCTGTTGTATAACTATGGCCTGTATGATGGAACCTGTCTCCTTACCCTAGGTCTACCTGGGACTAACCCTGGCCTTAAACCATTGGCCAGTCCCCAGATAGACGAAGATTCAGGATACAGGCTCCATCATACAGACTACAGCAGTAAAACATTTTAAATTGGCAGAAATTGTAGAATTTTTTCTGGGATCACTGTTTTGATTGATTTGAGCGGAGCAAGCGTCTCTTATACGTCCACTCTTATGCATTTCATGGTATGCTAACTCCTCCTAGAAGGCAGAAGCATTCATTTTAAAATTTTGCATGGTAATAAAGACCATTTCGGTGAGTGCTAATATCTAAATGGTATGGTGTTAAAAAATTCTCTAAGGAATCCGCCCCACGGGCCCTCAAAATTTCAATGTATTCCTTATGGAAGCAGTATTTGACACAAAAACAAAGGCATAAGATCAGCTGTTAACTTAAAGTAATTATCGTAACTTTTATCACAGATATAAGAACAGAAATTGTATGGATACAAACAAATGACGCCACTAGCTCGAACCACCAATAACATTAACATATGGTTTGGAAGTTTTTTGACAGTTTAATTTAACTAATAATACAAATAAGTTTGCTTTAAAGCTAGTGTGTCATTTACATGTCTTGTTTATGATCAACATCCTTTCTATTCTAAAATTATTGCTGTTAATCATTTTGTTAGCCTATGTATTATTTAAGTGCGTGATTAATCCTTAGTCTCAGTTTGAAGTTTGAACATGATTAAATAACTACCGTACTCTGAAGACCTACAGAACAAGTTAATTATTACACGTATTTCTATAAGTGTTCCGTTTGTTTTATCTTGCAAAGTAATAATTGTTATGGCTGTAGAACAAAATCAGTAGTTATAAATAATATTGTAAATACAACGGAATCAACCTACAGTGACGGCAGTGTTCTCGTATTAGCACTAACTGGTTGTGCTGCTTCTAATGTTGATGGTCAAACAGTTCACTCAGCTTTAAGATTGAATAATCTAAATCTTCAGATTTTGTTCGATAACGTTTGTGTCGTAGCTTACGTTGAAATATCTTTGTGTGGCCAGCAATACTTGCAAAGAAACGCAACAATCGAAACCTGACAACCAAGATGAAGTATTTGGCGGTATTATTGTATTTGTACCGGGGTAAGATCAAGATTTAATCATGTCATCTGATATTTCAAATCAGTGGTATACACGTGGACGTTTTGTATACAAACACATTCAACAAGTTTTTCAACTAAAACCTATCATGCGTCAATCCGGTGAAGAACAAAGTCATCAGATTTATTTTTGCAAGGCTGCTTGTATAATCATCTTTGCAAGAAGAAGTACTGACGTGGCTACTGACAACCTAAACAAATTGGCTAAGCTGCAAAGTCCTGTGGGACTCATTTGTGCCATAACAAATTTTCAATAGCCGAAACAGTGATTTCTGATGAATGACAATCTCTTGAAAGCATCCTCAAATGTAGAGTCATGTTACACCTCGACTTATGGACAAATATATCACCAGTCAATGGTCAATGGTGCTGTTAGCACTGTCATTTAACATTATATTTACTGTCAACAAAGTTCAACTTTTGTTAAACTTAAACCGATTTCAATAAAAACTGTGTAAGCTGGTTGGTGGAAGTAATATGAAATCACAAGGGCAATTCAAAGATGAAATATACAATTTCTTCTAATGTGTTCTCATTTGGAAGTTTAAAAAATGTTGATTAAAGCTTTCTTAAATTATATTACAACGACTGAACATCTGATTTACGACTGTAAATGTTTTGCCTGAGGTATTAATGTAATAGCTTAACAAATAAATATTTTGTCCATCTATATTAAAACGTCACGCCTAAAATTTGGAAGTTTCTCCCGTGTCAAATATCTTAGCTTTGTCAGCTTATGAATAAGTCAGAACCAATCACACTGCCCTGCAAGTCATTGCCATAACAAACCTTCAATAGCCGCAAACGTGATTTATGATGGTCGAAAATCTCTCAAAAACATCCTCAGATTAGCCAAAGGGTGTAAGTAAAGTCATGCAACGCCACAACTTATCGACCGATGCAGGATTAGTCAATGGTGCTTTTGACACTGTCCATAATATTGTATACGAATGTGAAGAATTCTTATCACATTATGCAGCCTTTATGTGTATTGATTGAATTGAGTAATTATAGATGATATACAATAATGTGGTACTGATTTTCCCTGTTGTAACTAAATTTGTAGAACGTGGCATTAAGTGTACCCGGAAACAATTTCCATTGACACCTGCCTATTCTCTCACAATTCACAAATCCCAAGGCATGACACTGACCAAACAGTTGTTGATATTGGACCAAGAGAATTAAATGTTGAGTTGACGTATGTTGCATTGAGCCTAGCCGAACGATACATAGGCTGCTTTTCCACCCAGTATTACCAAAAGAACGTCTAATGAGCAATAATAAAACCTCGGTCTGGAGAAAGAAACTAGACAAATATCAACGTTTAATAACATGTTATAAAGATTTTTTAGTTTTAGTTTGAAATGGTCACATTTGTTGAAATTAATAAAATTCACATTGTATTAAATTCATGTTCAATTGTTTAATTCAATACGGTATTTAATAATTATCAACCATCTAATTGGCTGGTTGAATATCTAAAATGTAATTGGCTGGTTGGTTTTTTTTAGTTCTGGAGGATATAAGAGAATGCTCTATCTTTTGTGAAATCATTCACTTATCATCACATAAAATTGAACTGCTATGCAGTTATCGGTAACCAAAATGGTATACGCCAAAACTGTTTGGGTTGACTGTAATCACCAGCAGCCATATAATAACATCTCTGTGTTTTTGGCAAATTGTTTCTCTTCACTGGGAAATAATTTCTAACTATTTTATTAATCATCCTAAATTTGATCTCCACACAAATTTTTGTCTATTTGAAATTGTAGGTAAAAATAATTTTGAAGCTTAAGGGTGAGGATCAATGGTCTGATGACTCCGCTACACTTTGTGGACGCGTCTGTGGACACCACCTAGTAATTTCATGATATCACGATTAATCAAAAGTTGATTTTAACACTGGAATACTTTTAGGAGTAGTAGATTATTGTAATTGAAAATATACTTTGTGATAATAGTAGTAATGTTTAAAGGCGCAAGCATTTTTGGAGCAAGGTTGGCGGCCTCTTTTACCTTGTATTTGCCTATCCACATAGGACCAGAATTTAACCATCAAAACAAGGGATAATCTGTTACAGTACAAGGGTGAACTGGACTGAAAGTAGTGGCAGCTAACAGGATTCGAACCCACATCATCGCTGCCTTGAGCATGGCGCTACCGACAAACCACCAACTCAGATGGTCTGATGGTAGAGTGCAGGACTTTGTTCCCTGAGGTCCTGGGTTCGAATCCCGCCCAATCAAAAATGGATCTTATACAAGAGATAACACCACAACTCCTAGGTCTAACCTGAAGTAATGTGAAAAATGATTACGTGCTAGAACCTAGTCTTGGGACAAAAAACTAAGTCTGTGTAGAAGAGCACAACTGCTCTATTGAGTCATGTTATAAGCACTTTTAACAATCAATTATAAGTTCAATGTGGTTCAAATCATTTCAAACCCAAGACAAACTATAAAAACAACACTGGGCAGACACAATAATAACAAATACAGTCACTAGCTGCAGGTATGTAAACAAAGTAACAAAGGTCGTTTACCTAGAAAGGTAAACACTATTATGACCTCACTGACTGAATGTAGACACTAATAATAGTTTATGCTTAAGGAGGATACTGAACAAAACAAAACTATCTTTAACAACTTAGCTTTTGCTCTAGTCAAACTGTGCAAATATTCTCAATGTTTTCAATTTGCAAGCTGTTGGATACATTTTAAACGAAAATTAGAAGCGTTTTGTCTATATGAAGAAATGTAGTAGTATTTAAGTGATTGTTCGATTTGATTATTTACTGAATAAATAAGTAAGATTTTTTAAATCTCACAAGCAAAGGATAGGCCTACTAAATCAACGTTGGTCTTAAAATTAAAAAGTGTAATTTTTTATAAATTCAAATATACACCGATTTCATGTTTAAAGCCGAGAGCCTTTAGACACTAGGAAGGGGATAAACTTAAAATTGTATCCAGGAAATATAGGAAATCCTTGTTTTGAAAGTAGATGAGCAATAAGGAATTATAAGAAATAACTTTGACTAAGGCCTAAGTCTAAGGCTAGCCAACGTTTTTTCTTATAATTCCTTATTGCTCATCTATCAATTAATGAAACAATGCAATTCAATGTTTACCGTTTCAATTAACAGATTCAAAATCTTCTATTCATAAAGGAGTGTGTTCAAATCTGTGCAATTATTAACTCTTATTCAAAGACACAATAGTTGGTGACAAGCAAAGTTTTTTCTAAATTTCTACTCATTATTTGGATCCAGAACCTTTTCCAAATTTCGATTTTATACATTATGGATGCAGAACAATTTACATAGCACTACTATAATGAATAAATTTCAGCATCGGACATGTTTCTTGAAATAAAAAAAAAACACAAATCACTGTCTTTACCTCAGATGTGGCGGGAAATTTGATTGTTTAAAATTTTTTTAACACACAGCAAAAGCGTACATGACAGTTACAGAGCAAGAATTTGTGTCATTCTGTTTGCAAATGATGCCAGTATGATAATGAGCTTCGTTGCGGCGTACAAGCAAACTAAGAATTTATACGTGAAACCGGCACTTACTTAAACAAACCTTGTATATATAAGTTATGTCTATCCGTGAACACGATAACTTGAGAAAATAATATCCGATAAAAATAAAGATTTATTATTATTTAAAAAACTACA